TGAAAATCACAGGAATAAATTCTGAAAATAAATGAAAAATATAAAATAACAAATATTTTATTATAGTTACTTTAAATTGTAATAACACTTCACAATATTACTCTTTTTATTGTATTTGTGGTAAAATAAATGCAAAAACATTAAATAATTACTGAATAGTGTATATCAGACACAAAACAAATGTCTATTAATTAAAAGATGTGTGCAAATATGTGTATGTGTGTGTGTGTGTATATATATATATATATATAATACTCACATATGTGCACACATATGCGCAAAATATCATAACTTTATATTTTTTCGTCCTGTTGATTTCCATCCATCATGTTGACACATTCTCTTTCCGTCTAGGTTGTGATCCTGCTGTACCTTGCAGACTGGATGGTTAACTGGATGTGGCATCGAGGGATGGATCCTGACAACTTCTCCATTCCCTACTTGACTGCCCTGGGAGACCTGCTGGGGACGGGCTTCCTGGCTCTGTGTTTCCACGTCCTGTGGCTAATTGGAGATCGGGACACAGATGTGGGTGATTGATCCACGCTGCTTCCTTTGACTCTATCCAAGCAACACAAATGTCTTTATTTATAATGCCACATAGAGAAAGAATATCTATATTGTTATGGCTGCGTTGGCTACCATGATTATATTGATGACATTATTGCTTTAGTATTGATATGTAATTTCATTGTTGTTTAGCTACTGGGAGAACAACTATCCTCATTATTTTTCAATGGGGATGTTCGGCCCGGTTTTACGGCCAGTCGCATTGGCTGCATGTAAAGATGACATCAACCTAAACTTGAAATATTTCACGAGAGGCAAACGAACATAGAATGCTACATCAGCAAGTGCTACAAAATAGTGATATAAAATTATATGTTTTGAGGGCGGCACTCACAGCCTTTGCCAACTAAAAACAAAAACCATATTTGGACCATCACAGAGTGACCTAAATAACATTTCAGGCTAAAGATTAAAAGAGTCACTTGGGTCTTAATGGTAGAGATTGAATCTCAAAGGGGACCTTTTGATGATAAAGCGTGCATGTACAGTAGAGTACTGTAAAATACATAGAGATCGCCCAATTTAACACACAATGCTATGTTTTCGGGATCTAAATTTGCTTTAGTAGCTGTGCTTATGGTTACAGAGAGGGATAGTAACCCAAAGTGCTTTACTGTTTCATTGAAATACTCAAGTTGTGCAATGCGATGAAAAGGGTTCATGGGTTGTTTACGCTCGACACCTAAAGGATAAAATATCAGACTTTGCCTCATTTGCGTAGGTACATTTCTGTTACGTACAGAAACGTTTCACCCAGTTAAAGGCCTGTAATATTGCTGTAGTCCACATCTGTTAATCTCCAAAATCTCTTGAATGGACTCAAAATACTGGGGCAGATAATGTATTTGTTGTGATGGTCAACAAAGTGGTTATTTTAAAAGGGCTGTGAGTTCGAAAATTGGCAGTCAGGACCCTTTTTATTAAACCAGAAATCATATTTGACAATGCACTCTTAAAGGCTTTCCAAATCCCAATGAATATATTATTCTATTATATAGAGTATATATACAGTTGACCCTTTGCTAAGCTC